ACTCCATAGTTCAGCTTCTGTATCTCATTCTCATGATGCCCCAAGAAAACATGCTGTCACCTCCAAAATGGTCATAGGATATAGGATGCAAAGCCTTGAAAAAGTTGTCATTTTATAAATGAGATATTCCCAACAAGTTCACTTAAAATGAAGGAAACCTGTCAGAATACATTTGGGACAACATGACATAGGTTCTGGATATTTCCCCCATTAGTGATGGCCCCCTTTCATGCTTGCTTTGTTACTATAGTCAAATGTGCCAATGAGCTTTCTCATTACTCTCTGATCCCCTTGGGTATCATCTTTGAACAGGAATTTCCTCTAGAAAAAAATGTTGAAAAAATTCCTTAGCTGCTATGTAAGTTATAAGTAATAGCTCTACAATATTTACAATTACCAAGTTTCCAAAGAACATGAGATAAAACATGCACTCAACTTTGAGACAGTATAGAATACCACATTTCTGATGATGTTTAGTGAGCATTGATTTCAAGCCTGTTTTACTTACATCTACTTTTTTTTTTTTTTTTTCCGAGACAGGGTTTCTCTGTGCAGCTTTGTAGCCCTGGCTGGCCTCGAACTCATAGAGATCCCCCTGCCTCTGCCTTCCAAGTGCTGGGATTAAAGGTGTGTACCACCACTGTCTGGCTCATCTACTTTTTATTGTCACCAATAATTTACCACCTGACATTAATTCCACAAGACTTATTTAATTTGGACTAAAAGTAACACTTTAGATTTATGTGCACTTTCACTTGAAAAATCTAAGTTACACAATGCTATTACCTCACTGGAATATCACAAAAAGTTTATATGATTTGATAGCTCTCACCTTAAGGGAATTCTAACAAGGAAAAATACAACACAGCACTTATAGCATTAAACATTCCAAACTCCAAGGAGGGAAAAAAAAAAAAAAAACAAGAGTGAAAGCTACAGAGCAGGAGAAATAGCTTAGAAATTTAGAGCAAGCATTGCTGAGGGTCCTTGTCAGACAGCTTTCAACTGCCTGTAACTCCAGCTCTAGGGGATCCAACCTCTGGCCTCTGATGCCCCTGCAATCACGTGAACATATCCATACACAGGCATATATTCACAATTACAAATAATTAACATAAATATTTTTTTAAAAAAAATACATGTCCATGTCTTAGAAGTGATTGGGGTAGGGGAAGGGACCTATAATCTTCCAGGATCCATGTTCCAGAACTAGATGGCCAGATACTAGCACACACACAACAAAGACTGGACTCAATTTGCCAATTTGACTGAGTCTGTCAGCTTCCAGGTATCTCCAAATGGAGCATTCCATATCCATAAAGCTCCCAACAGGAGAGGCTTCAGGATCTGTCAGCTTCTTTGGTGGGTATATAATTAGCATTCAAATTCAGATCCACACACGATTATATACATATATGTTCAACGTATCAATACTTAAAAATCCTTTAACTCTAATGGAAGATACTTTGAATTTTTATTAAAGCAAGGAGAGACTTATTTGTAAGCTAAGACTGCAGAGTTATAAAGTAAGTATAAGTAACATTTATATAAGGGAAAACATTCATACAGATGTTCAGGAAAAAAAACAAAACAAAACTCTAAACCCTATGGTAAGAAGGGGGCTTGGAGCCAGATTGGTCTGGGCTCAAAGCCAGGCCCCACCATTCCCTATGGGACCTGGGTAAACTTCATAGCTATAAAATGGATATTATTAAAATACCCAGCAAGGAGGGGAACCAGAACTTGGGGTAGGTGACGCTTATAAAATGAGCATCTATTTGTAAACTTAGACTGTGTGTAGGAACAGTTTGGCACTTTCAAATCCTTGGAAGTAGCCACAGAAGAGGATAATCACCAGGCAGAGCTTTGGCTGCAATGCAGTAAATCCATTTCCATGTCCACCATGGAAGCTTGGAAAGGAGATTAACCAAGTGAGACATCCAGCACACAGGTACTCTAAAAACTTGTTGCTAAAATTAGTGAAACCACACTATGCTAGAGTAAACGAGTAGCATAAGAAGAGTGTGATGAAGTGAGAACCACCGCTAAATAGACCAAATCCCATGACCACATCCCTGTGCCCAGAGTCTAAATACACCATCACCACCACCCTGCCCAAAATAGGGGCTTAAAGGAATGTGAAAAGACATAAAGACAAGGCTGGGAAGAGCCAGAGAGAAGATCTACAATGTTGTTTGCAGAACAACAACAACAACAAGTCATGGTCAGTTTGTAAAAGGCTGTCAAAAATCACCATGTACATGAAATAACCCACATTCTAAATGGTGATTGGATTTACTGTGGCTTTCTGCTTTGAGCAGTCCCTACAAAAGAGGCCTTGAAGGCTTCTATACTCTTGATGATTGTCCTCCTGTGTTGGCCTGAAACACTAATTTTATGAAAAGTTTCTGTAATATTGCTAGGTAGGGTAGGGCTTGGAGGGGGAGAAATGAGTGTAACTTATTATTAAGAGTAGCAGGACAGAGGAAACAATCTTCTTCGAAACACATTATTTGGGGACCAGATGGATTTATTTACCTGCTGTATTGGTTGGTACATACATGTGGCACTGTATGAGGTATAAATGCCGAAGACACCTATAGTGGGGAAACTCCTATGGAGAGGGGTTCATGTTTTCCTGTACACATTTTAAATAACTAGATTTATACCCAAAATACCCGAGTGCTCTTAGGCTAGGATGCACTGCACATTGTCAATAGAAGAATGAAACAGCATGCTACCTGCTTCTGCCACAATTGTGGAAGCAAGGGCTATCTCATTTGCCAGATTTCTTGAAATCTCCCATTTTAAGTTCTATATCATTCTAAGAGAGAATCTAGGAAATGATATCAGCAAGGAATATGATGGACATTTCTCTGTGACATAATCTGATAAGATGCTAGGTAGTATCTGTGTACACTTTCCCTTTCCGCTTTCAGTCTCCCCCAGTCCAGACAGATGTCAACAGCACAGTCTGCTACTTTTAGACAGAAAGCACATTTATTACTGAATTAACATATCCTTGAAAATTAGTGCCAAATCCATCCCACAACATCCATGCTATATTTGGCTGCTCCAAATCCCTAGATTACAAATCCAGTTCTAACCATCATAAAACTCTGCTACTCTCAGAGATGGCCTAGGAGGGCTCTGACCATCAGAACCAATTCTGCTCATCTAATCATCCCCTGCTATCAAACAGAAAAAACTTTATGGGATGGGGAGAGGAGGCATAAGTATATGTGCAAGATAGCAAGTTATCATGCCAGGCATGGCGCTTGGTGATGACCGTATGTTTGCCTACCACGCATGAGGCCTCAGCCTGAAACCTGTTACAGATGAGGGAGGGAGAGAGAGAGGTGGGGGACACAGACCACTCTCTGGCACTGTGATTGTGGGAGGGTGATAAGATGAACCATTTGTCATTGACACAGAATTATACTTCAACATCACTATAATCAGCACCCAAAAGAATACTTGGAGCTAAATATTTAAATATATTTAAATATCTGGAGCTAAATATTTGACTTCTTGAATGCAGTGGTACTTGTCTACTTTCAGAAATTCTGTGACAATTAGGGAAAAATAATGTGTGGGGACTAGAGAGATAGTGTAAAGGATAAAGTGCTTGCCATGCCAGGCAAGGTGGAGCACTTTGGGGAGGCAGATATAGGCAGATCCATGGGGCTCTGTGGCCAGCTAGGCTAGCCTAATCCAGATAATTGAGAGACATGTACACGCGAGCGCGCGCACGCGCACACACACACACACACACACACACACACACTCAGAGACACCTAAATGGTCTAAATGGTCTCATCATTCCTTTAAGGACACAAGATAGTCAAGTTGTACTATACAATACACTGCCCCAATGTAAACAAGCAAACAAACAAAAAAACTCCAAAGCAAAAGCAACAAACAAAAAACTACCACTAAATAAAGCTTCTATTTTGATAACCGTCACTTTGAACATTGGAATGAATCCTCCTGCATTGACCTGCATTGCTCTAAGTCTGAAATCTCCTAAGAATACATTTGAATAAAATCAAATGCTACCATCCAGCCAAGAAGGCAGCTCTCAGGGCAGCTCTGCAATAGCAGCACACAACTCAGCTTACCCGTGCCTTCCTTTGTGAAATGTGCCTGGATGCAGCCAGTCTGCATCAGATCAGAGTTGAAGGACACTGTAGGGCCACACTACATGTCAACATGCCAAGACAGGTTCCCCTAGATAGGCCTTTGACACGGCCAAGATCCCCCAAGTTTTCAACTTCCAATAGAAGAGAAAACCAGAAAGCCATGTTGAGTGCAGGTATTAAAAATAGAAAACAACCAGAGTTAAAACGGGACTCCTTCTTCCTGCCCATTTCCTCAAGGAAACTTTATGCCACACCCAGCCTTGTTCATAACAAGGTACTTGTGCATGGATTCTGGACATGCAGACTCCAAGAAAATACAAGCCACTAAATGTAGCTTCAGGTCTAGAGCAAACGATGAACTGAAGATGACTGACTGAAGATACATGAAGAAGATATAAATGCCCCGTGAGTGGAGGAAGAACCAAGGTTGGTGCAATTAGTCTGCACTGGGCTGGATGTCTGAGGCGCAGGGGGTGACCTGTCTTCTCAGAGCTGCCACAAATGACAGTCCTAAAAAAAAACCTGCCTTAAGTCTTGCTCCTAGGCTCTGCTCCACAGTTCTGGAATGTTCTGGAGTAGATGACTCTGCTCCCATAGTAAAAGGTGCCATTTGTTCAAAGCAAAAATAGACTCCACTGAAAAAGGAAAGCAAAAACGGACTCCACTGATAAAGGAAACCAATTCAGAGAACAACACGCACTCTTCCTTATCCTCCCCACTCCATATTCAGGGTTCTTTAAAAGGTACAGTTTCAACACATGAGGAAATAAGTCAAAGAAGTACCCATATCTAAATGAATTACCTGCCTCCCTGTTACTTAGATTCCAAATACAAACACATGGCGGTATATCATCTTACTTGGTAATTAAATCTGATTTGGCCATTCGAGTGATTTAGTTTCTTCAGCTGAAGTAATAGGAACATCTAAAAAGTGAATGAAAAATACACACTTTAATTGAATTTAACTCTTGAGAACTTGAAATTATTATTCAATATTACTAATAGGTACTAAAGGAAGAAGGGTGAATAAGATGGTGGCCCTGGGTTTCATGCTATGTCATCTAATAGCACAGTGCACTGGTGTCTCACTCCCTGTTCACCCTTTGCATGATGGGAATGTGTGAGGAGAACCAGAGCCTGCAGAAGCGTATCTTCACTTCAGATGGGGCCCAACTGCTCCTTGAGAGAGAACACTGTTGTAAAAAAATAAAACAAAACAAAACAAAACAAAAAACAAAAAAACAACTTTCATCACTTGCATTTGTCCAGTGACTCAATCACTTAGAGGGGTCATCCTTTCACTTCAAAATTACAGCCCCTGCTGAGGCTCCAACTTTGCAAAAGCAGAAAGCATGGAGGTCTCAAAGCTTATCTGTCCAGTTTCACTCTCGTTAGGGGATCCTGAAGACTGCCAAAGTCTGTCAGATACTCAGGAACATTTGAAGATGGGGTAGCACTGGCAGCTTCCCCAAACTGTTTCCCTGGTTTCTTAACCTGGCAGGCCTGACTTCCTCGTGTTCACTGGGTCCTCTCCAAACAGTCTGAATTGCACAAAACATCAAAAGATTGCCCAGGCCCCCCTTTCCAAGCTTCTTTGTCCAGTGCAACTGAGTCATACTCCTGAGACAGTAGAAGGGAACAGCTCATACATGATGGAATGATACTGCTGTATTTGCTACACAAATCAAGGGAGACACGGTCATCTTCAACAAAAATTTCAGTGGATCTCAGAAATGTTGGAAGTAGACAGACTTTGGATGCCTAGAGGTATGAAGAGCAGTGGACGGACCCAGGGTCTGGACCCTGATTCCACACAAAACTCAGTTGTTACTCTATTGGCCAGCTGACCATGGAAATGGGGATATTATGTGTCAGGCTGAAGAAGTAGTTGAGGTTTCATTAGGTTCTGGAATCATATAGTATCTAAGATAAAGCTGGGCATAGAGAGCTACATGCTGTTTGTCTTCACCATTCCTGTCACTAACTACAAAGCTTAAAAAGCACTTAATTGGGGCCTGAGGTTTAGTCTATTGTCATCAAGGCAGGGAGCATGCTGGCAGACATGGTGCGGGAGAGGTAGCTGGGAGTTCTATATCCAGGTCTGCAGGCAGCAGGAACAAAGAGTGACACTGGGTCTGGTGTGGGCTTTTAAATCCCAAAGCCCACTCCCAATGGCACACTTTCTCCAATAAGGTCACAGCTGCTATTCCTGATGACTAAGCATTCAAATATGTGAGCATCTGGGGGCCATTCTTGTTCAAACCACCACACTGAACTATACAAGCTGAGAGCAGACCAGATGAAAACTCAGATTAGCACTCAGAGAAGAAAACAAAGGCTACTCTTCAAACTGACCAATTGTTTGCCAGGGGACAAGGTAGTAATACTGGGAGGCTGGATCAGAACCATGTCCCTGGAAGTCAATGCCCTCCAACGCCCACCTTGCCTGCAGTTCCTGATCCACTCTTCCTTGTGCAAATCCACAATCCAGTTTAGAAACCAAGAAAAAAACAGACTCTATCTATTGTGTGCACTGTGACAAATGAGACAAAAATGGTCAAGGAGAAACAGAAAACAGGGTCCCAGATAAACTAAACTAAATTTCTGGCAAGGTATTCATTAAATTAATGCTTGCCAATTAATTAACCTGCCCATTCAAAGAAAACTTTTAACTGTATAGATGTTCAGGGAATACATCATAGGGTATACAATTCCATGGTTTATAGTTAAATACTTTATTGGGATAACTAGACTACTGGCATCACTAAGGTTCAATTTTTTTATTTCTACTTTAGTATTTTTTAACGTTTTAAAAATTTAAACTTTGTGTATGTGCATCTGTGTGTTTGTGTATTGTGTGTGTGTGTGTGTGTGTGTGTGTGTGTGTGTGTGTGTCTGTCTGTCTGTCTGTCTGTCTGTCTGTCTGTCTGTCTGTGTGTCTGTGTGTCTGTGTGCCTGCATATATAAATGCACATGAGTGCACCACACGACACCAAGTTGGCTGTCAAAGCACAACTTTTGGGACATGGAACTTGTTTCTCTCCTTCCATCACATGGATCATGAATTTGGGATGGAATTTGGATCAGCAGGCTTAGCGGCAAGTACCTTTATGTGCTGAGCCATCTCCCTAGCCCTATTCCTACTTTTAGTGAGTATAAAATTATCTTTATTATTATGATTATTATTATTTGTCAAGTGGAGAGTTGAGACAGCATCTTTTATGTAGCTAACATTGATCTCAATGGGTCACTAAGAATGACCTTGAACCACTGAGACACCTACCTCTCCCTCCTAGGGAGTTATGTGCCACAAGATCTGGTCACATAGAAATTCCTGTATTCTGTAAAACCAAGACATTGTAATATGGCAAGGATCTTTTTCATAGACATCACATGCCAAAGGCTGGCAAAATGACCAGGCCACTTCATTGAAAATCCACTACCAACATTTTTTCTTCCATCCTGCTGTTAAAAATATTTCATGAAAAAAAAAAAAAAAAAAACAGAAAACCTGGTGCCTCTGGAATTAGAAGGTCATCAAATCAGCATCATGAAGGGTCACTTATATGAAAAAAATCACAAGATTAAGTTAAAGTAAGTAAAGAACTACGGGCAGCTATGTTTTAGATAAAGCATGAAGTTTGTGGGCTACATGGAGCTTCTCCATTCACTAGCTCAGACCCAGTAAACCTGTAGACTGATTAAAACTCGCCAGGTTTTTCACAGAACCAACACAGCCATCAAGTTTGGTGTATATTTCTAGAGATTTGGTTTCTTCTAAAGCAGAAACACTGACAACCAAGGCCATCTCATGCCCAAAATGTTAGAATTTAATTACTTTTCAATAATAGCAGAAAAATTTCATGAATAAGTATGATTTGGGTGACATGAAGAGAAAAGCAGAAGTAGAGCTACAAGAGGGAGTGCAGAAGGGAGCAGAGGGGGTGGTCAGAGGGGTCACAGAGAGTCAGAGGGGGGCAAGGGGAAGATGGGGGCAGAGGGGAGGTGAGGGATAGAGGGAAGACAGAGGGAGAAAGAACAGAGTGGGACAGAGGGGGACAAAGGGGGCAGAGTGGGGCAGAGGAAGACACTGCTTTCTAGATCATCCTCCCTCCCTTGGATAAGTTTGGTTTTGTTTTGGAGAGAGACATCAAGAAGGCAGTGCTACTGGGAAATGTTCAGGGATCCACAGGGATGACCCCAACTAAGAATCTAGGCCATGGTGGAGAGGCTGTCTTTAATGCCCTTCCCGTATAATGAGATGGATGACTACCCTGGTTACCATCCTAGTGCCTTCATCCAGTAGCTGTTTGAAGCAGAAACAGGCACCCACAGCTAAGCACTGAGCCATACTCCTGGAATCCAGTTGTAGAGAGGGAGGAGGGATGAGCAAAGGAGACAAGACCATGCTGGAGAAACCCACAGAAACAGTTGGCCTGACCTAGTGAGAGCACAGAGACCCTAGTCATAAAGCTGGGGAACCAGCATTGGACTGAACCAAGCTCTCTGAATGTGGGTGCCAGCTAGGAGGCGTGGGCAGTTTGGAATGGGGGGATTGATATGTAAAATAAGATTATTTCTAAAATAAAAAAAAATCAAAAAAAAAAAAAAAAGACAGTGCTAGGACCTCTGAAATGTCTCCATGGGTAAGTGATTGGATCCTGAGTAGGAGGAGAGAATCCACTCCAGAAAGTTGTCTCTGACCTCCACGTGCACTCTGAAGCATGCTAGCACACACATAGCCTTCACATACACACTGACAGATAAAGCTGAGGACTGACTAAGGAGCTCAGCTCTGTGTGGCAGCAGTCATCAGAGCAGCACACTCAGCCTCATAAAATCAGAAAACGGGTGTTGTGTGCATTAGGAAGTTGGGTCACAGGCACCTAGTAGTTAAGAACACAAAATACAGTAAAATGCCAACTTAGGTTTCAATGTTCTTCCTGTCTATAGGCACAGACATTCCCAAATTACACCGCAGGATTTTCTTTTTTTTAATGACAGCCATTTTTTTTTCAGAAAATTCAATTCTTCTGACTCCATTATTGAAAGTACAATAAACAGAGAAAAGCTGCATGCAAGATTACTAACATTTTTCATATTTCAATTTTTGTTCCTATTTCTTATTCAGCAATTAAACATATAACATAATAAGCCATCTAAGAGAGCTGCTAAACAAATAAAAACTCCAATACTTTAAGGCAAATCTTGCTGCCAGTGATGATGGTGCACACCTTTAATCCCAGCATTATGGAGGCAGAGGCAGGCAGATCTTTGAGGCCAGCCTAGTTTACATAGTGAATTCCAGACCAGCCATAGTTACATAGCAAGTCCCTGTCTTGAACCCCCATACCCCCATAAAAAAAATTGCTCATGAAGTTGCCTCAACTTCAAGATTTTGCCATTGTTTATTTTAAAATTTAAAAGGCAATGCTATTAACACTGATTTCTAAGTGGAGCCAAAGACCCAACCTAGATGCTGTGTCCTCAGTGTGGAGCTGCAAGCAGGGACCAGACAACCTCATTTTGTCATCACAATGCCTTTGCCTAAGCCTCATGGTGATGGGGCATGGAGGACAAAGACCAACGGCTGCCATGTAACAATGACCTATTTCTACATTTCTGAGAAATGTTTGTTTAGAACTTAAAATACTCTCTGAGGAAACAGCAGGAGGGAGGGGAATTGTTCCACTTTACTCAGTAATGTCCAAGCAATTTAAACCAAGTTCTAAAGATGAGGTAATTGCGCTAATCCATGGAAGTGTAATGACGACACGTCTACCTGTTCATTTTTCATCGTGTCCTTTAATATCTAGTTTGGTTCTGTCTTATGGGATCTACAACATCAACACAATGGGTAGCTACTTAGAAAGAGCAAGGTGAAAAAGCACTGTTTCTTTGCAAACAATCTTGCTACGTAGCTCAGCTTGGCCTCCAGC